GGCCAACAGTGGATATCTCCTTCACAATTTACCTTTTCCTGTGTCCACAGGTCCGTGATCTTCTTTGCTTGCTGCCACAGCAGTTGAATCACCATTTATGATATCAAGGAAGAAGTCAGCTGGATTGTTGAAGGGTTCACATTCATATCCTTAAAAAAATAAAAGGTAAAAAACCCCACATGCAATATGTTTGTATTGCACAGAGTTCAGAAGGTCAGGTCTAATACTTTATCTTTCTTCCACAACCCTGTTACAAGAAAACTTCACTGCTTGCCATGAGCATTAGTTTACAGCTGTACAATAGGCAGGATTTAGGAGGTGATAAATCTGAAGTATCTATACAGAGCTTCGCAGTTTCTTATTCTCAACTGATTTCAGGTGAGGAGAGATCTGGAACTTGCTTCTACACAGCTCAGCATGGACAACACTTGCCTCCTTCCCAGTGCTGTTCAACCCATCCCACTCTGAAAGACACACAGTCCCTCAGTAGAGGTTGCTGGATGTCTGCTCTACAGCCTCAGATGCTTGCTCTAGAAGCTCAGCTCTTGCTTGTCTTTCCTTGATCACAAGGAAGAGGAAGGGCTGTCCAAGAGCAGCTTCTTACAGGATGGTTCTAGCTATGGGACAAGGAGAAAAGAAAAAAGAAAAGTAAGGATGCTTATTCTATAACATTTGTGTGAGAAAGGAAGTGAGGTGGGATAAGAAAAGGAGTAGAGGTAGAGTAACATATGTATCCATGGCTGCATCTAGACCAGATTGGCACTTCACTCCACATTCTCTGTCCATTATAGCCAGAAACCCTCACCCTGCTTATCTGGAGAGGGGGCAGCCACCCAACAGTGCAATTATTAACCCGTCTCAAGACGATTTCATCCTCTTGGTCACCCACCTGCAATCACACTAGAGCAGATTCTCGGATCAGCCTCTACAGATTGCTGCCAATCCAGAGGCTGTGGTTCAAAACCCCCAAAGTCTGCCACCCAGGCCTGACAGAACTACAAGCATCATCTTGTCTGTTGTGCATCACGCTTATATATGTCCAGCTGATTCTGGGGTTTTGTCCTGATGCAGGGCAAAACAAAGGCAGGAGAGAGCCATGCTCTGTGTTGTCTGAAGAAGTTTTTTTCCTGTTTTTTCCTGTTCTAATATAGCACTGTTCAGACTGTACATGTACAGCCTTTAGTATCCCAGCGATAAAACAGCACAGGAGTGTTATCCACTGCTAGGGTAAGAATCTACCCACAGATTAAGCTCATTAACCAATTGCCTTTGCTCTTGGCACAGAAGACTTACCAATAGAACTGAAGTACTCCAGAGCCTGCTTTGCAGGACCATGGTACAACACCTTTCCCAAAGCCAGTAATGTCAGACTGTCAAACAGCTTGAATATGGAATAGCGGGGCTGGTGGATGGAGAAGATGATAGTTCGCCCTCTTCTTGAGAGCCTGAAAAATAAACAAAACATTTCTCAAACACACCAGACTTTGTATTTCAGAAAGGTCACGTTAACCCAAGCAAAAACTAAGTATCCAAATCCAAGACAAATACTTGTCAGCTTCTCAGGGTCTTGACGTAGAAAAGCTGTAGTTCCCTCTTCTCTGTCACTATGCTAGATGATGCCTGCAAGACCTTCAAGACAGCACTCATCATTAAAAGAGACCATCATTGCAAGTCCAGGTAGACAAAGTATGATGTTGTCTGTACTAGCAGAGGTTGAGGCCACAGCTACATGTTTTCCATACCAGGCTTCAACCTGACTAACTGGAATGGTCCTACTGCACTCAACGGCAGTAGCAGGCTGTGGAAGTCTGGCCAGCTGAGATTTCTCTTAGCTCTTCTGCTGAAGATTTACTCTGTAGAAGTCAAAACTAGTTTTCCTTCAGGTTTGTCAGACACTCAACTGAAGCCCAACAAGTATCCTTGCTGACTAAAGACCTCTATCCACAAACAGCAGAGCTAAATATCCCCTCAGGCAAAGCCAGACAATGTGCTACAAGCCCAGGAGGAGGGTTAGGAACTCATTCTCATTAAATAAGCCTTGTTTGGTCCCCTTTATACCAGAACACAGTTCATCTCCAAAAGACAGGAGATGAAGGTAAACACAGGGTGAATCTGCAGGTGAAGTCTGACCTGAGTTAAAAGCTGTTGCCACAGTGAAAGAAGAGACTCTGTAACAGACTCAGCTGGAAGGCCAAGAAATCATGATTACAAGCCCTGACCTCCAAGTCCACTCCTCTCTGTGGCAAAGGGAAGCTGTCCAAGCTACATCTGCTTTTTGGGCTCCAATCCAACGCTTGCTGTGGAAGGATTCCCATCAACTTCAAAAGGCTTTGGACAAGATGCAAATAAATAATTTACTACCACTTCTCAGTCTATTTGTCAAACTTTTTTTCTTTCTTTAAAAAAAGCACTGTAGCTACTCAGTCATAACAGCATTCCTTTTTTTACTAATGAGATGACAAAAAAAATTGCAGCAGAGCCCTGGAGAAGGGACTCTTACTTCTTCAAGAGGATGAGGACTGCATTGGCTGTGCTGGCATCAAGGCCAGTTGTTGGCTCATCAAGAAAAAGGACTGGTGGCTCTGTGATGAGCTCCATCCCAATGTTGGTTCTCTTCCGTTCCCCTCCGGACACTCCCCGGATCAATTCGGTTCCTACCTACAAGCAGAAGAAAACAGGTATTTGCAACAAGACCTAGTCAGTGCATGCTCTGGAGTTCAGGGCTCTCCACACCCAGCAGTCCTTTTCTTTTTCAGAGTCCCTTAGTGACCTCTAGGGCCAGCATGAGGTAACGGGTCTGACTCAGTGTGAGGGACTGTGTAGCAGTAAGCAGACCTGATTTTAGGGTACCAAGCACCTTATCACTTCAGAGAACAAGGATGACACTGAGTAGGAAGAGCCAGAATGAGGCCAGAGTAGTCAGAGGTGGCATTGGTGTTCAGGGATACCTTTTGTTGGTAGCTTGTCTGCTGCTCAAGTAAGAGTGCAGTGAGTAAAGTAAAAGTAAAGTAAGAGTAAAATTGCTGCTGGGAGAAACAAGCTCTGCACAGTTGTTCTCCATCACAGCCCAGCCTTCCACTCCTCACAGCTTTCAGCACTGTAAAAACAATTTCCCTGTCTTGTCCCACAAAGCCAGGAAGTGACAGAGCAGCTTTCCAAGTTGCAATGACTAGGCGACTTTTTCCCCTCTGAACTTATAAAACATGCTGGACACGGTCCAAAATCTTCCCCTTTTAGGAGCAAATAACATAGCTCTTTCTGAGCTACATCCTGAGCTGGAGACTGATTTCTTGTGTGCAGTATGGTTTAGTCAGGTTCCTGCACAGCTTTGTGTAGTTGCACCATGGATGCTACGCTGCCCAGAGTCCAGCAGTTCATTTTCCAGTATGATTTCAGTTGAGTATGATTTATGAGAATCATATTCTCACTGCTCACCTTAGCATCAGCCACTTTGCTTAATCCCAGCTCACTGATTATCTGGGCAACTCGCTCTTCCTTCTCTTCAATGCTGATGGAGCTGGGAAGTCGCAAGGCAGCAGAGAAGTGCAGATTCTCCCTCACTGTCATTGTGCCCATGACAACATCATCCTGAAAGCAGTACAAATGGACAGTTGGAAAGACTTCTTCTCAGCTACCTGACTCGGCACCACAATCCCTGTAGTGGCAGTTGCTGGATAAGCTGTTTGTGGACCACAGTGAAAACTGGACTGAGGGACAATCACTGCTTCAAAACATGCAGGACATGAAATTCAAGGTCACTCAGTAGCAGCTGAGGGAAGAATGCAGCTCTGCAAGCTCCCAGCTTACACCAACCATCACTTCAGCATGCTTGCAGGATCAGGAGTGCAAGTGCAGACATTTCCATTCTGTACTGTCACATACATTTTCCTTACCAGCCAAAGGGAGGCAGAACAGTTAGTCAGTTGTGTAGACAGTTAAACTTCTGCTAGTCCATCTGAAGCCAATGGACATTGCTAGTGCTCAGTGTTCAAGGTAGAGACACTGCAGAGTGTCACCTACCCAAGTTCAGCTCTATTCTTGGTTACAAGCCAAATCTCGCTGTGTTCCAGAGCACCTGCTGAGTTCAGCTGCCAACAAGGAGCTCTCCTCGGCTCCTTGCTGGCAGCATCCCCTCAGAGAAACAAGAATATTGCACCAAGATGCTTCTGACTTTTCCCATGTCTCAATTATCAATAACGCTTGGGCACAAGCCCTTTTTCTAAGGGCCACCCCCATAGAAGAGCTTCAACAGTCAGGTGAACTTTGATTAAGAATCAAATCTATTTAGTTGACAAATATCTGGGCAGCATACACCAAGCTGTAACAACCATGAGCCAAACAGAGCTGACATCAGGTCCATCCAGAGCTCCATGCCTCCACATCATCCCTGCTTTCATATTCAAGCCAATTCCTCATCCCACCATATGATAGGAGAAAGGCTGCAACAGTGGGCAGCTGCTAAGAGACACGCCTGTTCATCAGGCACCTTTCAAATACAGTGCTCTTCTGGAAGACACAGCTCCTAAGCTGCAGGACAGCAGATTCTTGACTGTTTTGGGACTCCTTCCGTATCAGATGTAGTTGATCAACAGCAGAAAGGGTATGCCAGCCAAACATGTTTGGCACTGGAGTTAACAGAGGAAGACTGAAGGTGCTGCTGTGCTAGAAGTATGTGATGGATTATTCAGGATGTAGTGTTATGATAAACTGGCTTTGCTGCCAAAGCTGGTTTACAAATTTCCCACCATCACTTCCCTTCCCACACACTCTCAGCCTCTCACCCTAGCTTCCCACTCCCTATCCTCAGATCCACCAATAAAACTGTCGAGTCACCACATTGGAACCTAAACTGTGAATTTAAGCTACCTTAATACCAAACAAACTACAGCATGACATCTTCAGTTGAAAGGCATAAGTGGAGAGACCATCAGCAGTTTTATAGGGATAACACATGACTTAGCATGCCTATATACTCATCTGCATAAAACTGGCCCTACAAGTATTTATGTATTTAGGCCTCAAGTGTTGTTTGTCATCTTCAGGCCATCTTTATGCCTCTAGGGAGTACTGTACAGGGGTTGGAGAGGAGAGAGACCATTTAATGTCTCATCTAGTCACCTATCCTTTTAAGGTTAAGTTTGGTTGCTTTGGATGCATCCTCTCAGAGTCCACCAGCTGGCAGCTTTCAGAGAAGCTGCCTATTTCACATCTGCCTGCAGTGAGAAGCCTGGATGGTTTCCAGATTTGGTCTCTCGTATGGCTGCCAAGAATCCCCTCCTTCTCAGCTCCCCCAGGGCTTTGAGGGTCTATTATTGGCCTAGGCCTCCACCCACTTCCGCAGATTCAGCCAGCTTTTCCTGTGTCCGAGTGGAATGAAGCTCTGTCCCAGCCAGCCAGAATCAGAGGAAGAACAGCAGGGATCTATTTACTTCCTAGAATTATTGTCTGATAGATTGAAGGTACTTCTGCCAGCTAGAACTGGTTCTGAGTTTTACAACAAGAGATTTTGATTGTTGTAGGGTTTTTTCCCCTCACCTTTCGATTTTTTTTTAAACCTTTGCCTTCAGGGCAGAGCTCAAAGAAGAAGCCACAGCAGCCCAGTCATTTAGGCATCTATGGGACTTTGGGAAGACAAACACCTCTGTGCTCAACTTGGTTTGATCCCCTTGTCTTCCACATCCCAGAAAAATACTAAGTACTGTGACATCTGAGTTATCAAATTAGACTCCATAGGGATCATTGAAAGTTATCTAACCTAGTAACTGATGCTTTGCTCATCTTCCATAGTCTTTCCTCCCAAGGGCTTCCAGGCCTCCACTGAAGGCAGTTACTCACCTGCACAACATATCCTGAGATGCACTTGAAATTTGGAGGTTGTGGGATGCCATCTATAAGCACTTCTCCAGACAGGCCTGCTGGGTCTTTTCTGGCAGCCAGCACATCTAGGAGACTTCAAGCATTACAACAAACACCAAGCATTATGTTTTGGCATAACAGCTTTTACCTTTGACTGGATAAGTACCACCAGGCAGGACTGCAGTTACTGCCTGCTCATGGCATGCTGTAAACCAAAGGGCATGGAAAGGGCATTCCTCTACTCTGGGGCTTTAGGTCTTTGTACAGAAAGCCTGGTGTAGATACACAATTTTCCATGAAAGGTGTGCCACAGCAGTATGCAAGCATACAGACCCTCACAATTCACAGCACTCAGCCCCCAACAGACATAAACTCAGTCTCTGTATTAACAGCTAACTTGAAATGCCCAGAGACAAAAGCACCCTGCCGAGTAGCTACAGTCAGCTCTTCGGCCAGTGGAGCACAGAATTAACTACTTTGATCTCAAGGAAATTAATCCAAATGGGTATAAACAAGACTAGAGTTAAGATTAATTCTATAAAGTAATTTTGTTTTAACACTTGATTCTCCTTACTGGCAATGCAGAGGCCAGACTGTCTGCTCACTAAGTAAACATTGCCCTGATGAAGTGCTGCTCTTCAAAACATCCTGATTAGACAGCAGCCTCCTTAGAGAGGAAGATCAAGGGTCACTACAAAGACAGCCCTCTGTGAATCCCGGCCACATTTGCCAGTGTATGACATTCTCAAGGGCAGAGAGTGACAAAGAGCACTCTTACCATGGATATATGGGAGAGAAAAGAGCATCAGCACTGGTTAGAGATAGTCTGCATGATTTTCCCCCATGCTTTCACCCAAAGAAACCAAGCATATGTCCACCATCCCCACCAGGCTACAGCCAAGTTGGGGTGAGGATCCAGAGCATCCTACAGACTGACATTATACCATATTTTTTCAGTTGGCAGAGGTTTGACCTAGCATCTTCAAGGAAGTCTTGCTGCAGTGACTTCACAGAGGATGATACCTCTCCTGCCCTGAGGAATCTTGCACCTCCTCCTCATCCCATTGCAGGCTAGGACAGAGCCTACACCGGTCCAAAAGCTGTCCAAAGCTCCAGTCACCCCAGTTCAGCTTGGTATCTTAACTCAGGGCATCACCAAAGACGGCTGCAATAATATGGACTACCAACTGGAGCACATAAGAGGTGTGACACCACTGCAGGGGAAGAACTTCAGCAAAGCCAACAGAGGGACACAAGGTCAAACTGCATCACCCAATTTCTCACGGGCTTGCAAAGGTCTGAGCCTGCAGGCCCCTCACATGTACCCCAGCCCTCAGAATTCCAAATCCTCTTTGAAGAGTTGACTGTCCATTTGAAGGAGCGGGATGAAGTACTTACGATGATTTACCACTCCCGGTTGGCCCCAGGATAGCATTCAAGCCTGGCTTCATAATGCCACTGAAAGAAGGAGAAGTGTTATTTCAAAAACAAGAACTGTTCACATGCAGCTCATAGTAGAGATAAGGTGAACAAAATGCTGTTGAAAGGAAAACTTAGATATTATAGAATCATAGAATCATAGAATCGTAGAATCCTTTAGGTTGGAAGGGACCTCCAAGATCGTCAAGTCCAACCATTGAGCCATTAGGGCTCTAAAGTCCTCTGCTAAAACAGATCAGAATCTGTCAGGGTTGGAAGGGACCACAAGGATCACCCAGTTCCAACCCCTCTGCCATGAGCAGGGACACCTCCCACTAGATCAGGCTGCCCAGAGCCTCATCCAGCCTGGCCTTAAAGACCCCCAGGGATGGGGCCTCAACCACCTCCCTGGGCAACCCATTCCAGGGTCTCATTATTGAAAACTTCTCCTTAAACCTGAAATCAGTAAGCATTTTTCCTTTTTTATCCCAGACTGCCAGTCAGAACAGAAACAGAACTGGACATAAAAAGCAACTTATCTACAAAAGACAGAAATTGTCCTCCCTCCTTAGGTGGGTCTTGAAAAGAAGAAACAAGTGCTCTCACTTCCTCTGACTGCAGCTTGAACCATAGCTAAGGGCACCCTCAGACCTTCTTGTAGAAGAGTTCACTCAAGTTTGGTCCTAATTTTCTCAGATCAGTAACTGAAACTGCTTCAGCTACGTCCTGGCTATTTTGCCTAAAAACAAGTTTAGGAAGTGCTCACATGACCTGTGGACTGGCAGGAGGGCAGTCATTTCTTTACCAGCACAGCTGGATCTGGAAGGTGACACTGAGGTCACTGCTTCACAGCAGCAGATTAATTCCTATCCTCCGGTATTTTATTTAAGCAAGAACTTACTAAACATTATGAAGGATCTTCTTTTCCACAGTTTTCCGCTTACACAGGAATCCACTGGACTGCTTTACGGAGTACTGGATGTTATGGAAGCTCACAACAGAGCCCCGAGGGGATCGGAGGGACTCTCGTGTTGGAAGAGACCGCTGGAAGTTGCCCACTCCTTCCTCTTCTCCAACAGCAATAATGCTGTGATCAAATGTGTCTGCCATCATGTCCTTGTTACACAAGTCAAGCTCCACTGCATGGAGTTTTTCGAGACCACTGTCGTTTTGAGCAGTTCCCATCTGTTGAGACAAAGGGAAGGAGACATACAAGCAAAGATTTCTGCAGAAAGTGTCTTGGAAAAGCACCACACCACACCAATCCTTACATTTGCCAAGTTTCTAAAAGGATGGACATCCGCACTGGAAGACATCCAGTAGTCCCCAAAGGCACGGAAACCCACAGATTTAGAACAACAAACATAGTCTTTAAGAGTAAGACATGTATGTTCTCAAAGTGATGCCAGCTCAAAGAGCATCAAATGAGGTAAAAAACAAGACCATCTTTGACAGTCAACAACTTGCTCAACACAGTGGGGACCACAAATGCAAGCTGTTACCACTTAAGCTAAAGAGAGTCCTTCAGGCATAACATGCTTACCACCCCCTCACATCCCCACAAAGACAGCACATAAAAACTCTTAATGAACCTCTATGAAGAGCCACATGAAGAAAAATGGCTGTGCTTATGAAAATGAAGACCAGTCACATGTACATTGTTTGCTGGTACAAGTTTGTTTCAGAGATACCAATAAGATTAAAATAGCAATGAAATACGTAGCCTATATAATGTTTCAGACACATCATTAACAAGATACTTCACAACTAGAAACAGGAAGAGAAATTTGGATTTATCTCCAGGCACTATTTACCCTGAAGAGCAGTAGGAGATCCACCTCCCAAAGGGAGACATCTGGGACATGTCACAGTAAGGAAAAACATGGTACAAACTAGTACTTCATAGAAAATGAAATACGGTATCTATTTGTAAGCACAAAGTTATAAAGCATTCTGGTTCAAGCATATAAGCTGCCTCTGTATCTCAGGATGGGACCCTGAAAAGGAGGTCATATGACCAGCACAGGGAAGGAACTGTTCTCCCTGTCCATGCATCAGAGCCTACATAGTAGGAAATCTCTCAATATGGGTCTAACCATTGATATTGGTTCACTTAGTCACAGCAGCAGAGCTCTTCTGTTAAGGGGCTGCTTCACTTTCCTTTGCTATCTCTCTGATAGAGACCAAGTTTGGGTCTCTTCACTCATTTAAAAAAAAAAAAAAAAAAAGAAGGAAAAGTTTGAAGTCCTTGCCTTGATGTTGCATGTAAAGAACTTGGAAACCCTGCAGTTCCCAAGTTCTGCAGCCTGTGGGAGGCCTGGGCATAACTCGAACCCTGCCTTTTAGCCAGGTGCCCTCAGAGCCATAAACCTTTCTGTCCCCTTTCCAGAGAACCACAGCAAGGAAGAGAAGAATTACCACATGCCTCTTCCAGAAATTGAATGCAACAGGTTAGACTAACACAAGTTAGTCTAATCATTTACTTCCCTTCTAGCTGCTGGTATGGCAGTGTTTGTTGGAAAGCTAAAAATTTACTGTGATGTTGCAGAAAGCCAAGGTGTTCACCAGGCTAAGAGAGCAAAGGAGAGAGAACGGTCCACAGAGACATCCTTTGCTGGTTACTTGAGTTGGACAGGTGGATGTATGGCACTACCAGTTACCCTTTTCCCACCATCTGCACTGCTTTCCTCCCAGGACTGAGAGGGTTTGTATGACCAACAATATCCAGCACTGCAGAAGTTTCTCAGGGAGTGAGATAGTCATCCTTTTAAGAAACGAACTATAAAAGCCAGGTTTAAAGAAACAGGAATGGTCCTATTCTTTCTGTCTCTTCCTATCACCTAGAGTTCAAGAAGTGCCAGTAGATTTTTCCTGTATAAGTAAAATAAAAGCAATGGGTAAAAGGAAGAGCTGTTTAGCTTGTACACATCGTGAACTCTAAGGCAGGTCACCCCTGGGAAAACCTTGCCTGTAGGAGACAAGAAAAGATACGTTGGTTACATCAGTAAGAGAAGCTTGGAAAGTTGCACAACAAATCAGGGAAAAAAAAAAGTCAGGATAACAGTGACACCAGGGGCAAAGACCTGTTTAGACTTTTAAACATCTGACCATCTTGTATACCTCATGTCTGCTCTGGATAGGTTCTGTAGTTTATTGCACCATAAATGTTTTTATACGTGTTTCTGCAAAGGTACCGAATGACACTGGCCAGCGAAACCACTCCTGCAAGTAGGTGCACGGGTGGCAGGACGATGAGAAAAGTTTAGCAGAGGCGACAGGTCGGACCAGGCGGCAGCAGCAAGCACCTCACACGCCGTGTCCCTCTAGCCCCCCGCCCTCGCCCCACGACCCTGTTCCGCTATTAA